TTTATGAAAGTTGCGTATTTTGCTCATTTCATTTGTATCATTTGGATCATGCCAAAAGAAAGACGGGATAGCCTTAACATGCCCGAGCCGATTCTCTTGACAATCCCTCTAACACACGTCAATTGCGACAACACGTAACAGCGGATCGAAGTAGGAAAAAATCCGTATGATATTCTTGAGAAAGATTGTACCGTACTTTCTTAGAATTGCACCTCACGCATAATTAGATCTTGTATGAATTTCGTTGAAGCAATTTCACGTTGCCATCACTTGTAGGAGTTTGCTGGAGCACTTCACTTTGCTATAAAGATTGAAATATGTCTCTCTTTGAATCTTTAAGATGTCTTTTACCTCAGTGGGTGTGGCCTCACTAAGTTGATGAGTTAGCCACAAAAGATCCTCTAGTTGCCACCTATTTTAATGATTATGAGTTATTACTTGAGCTTTAAAATCAAGACCCCTTGGCTGCCACATTAGGATATTAATCAACCTTATCCAAATATGCTTAATTAATTAGTTAATCTCCCACTAAAATCAATAATTACGTAATTATCAACATAATCAAGAATTATCTCAAGTTACTCAAAATACTACTCATTTTTAACACACTTTATATACCTTATAATCATGGTCATATGGTACCTTGTATGTCATTAGTGCATAAATACGGGGTATTATAGCTTGGACCGTATTTTATCTCAAAATGACAACCTTCAACGAAACTCATTTTCTTCGATTTGCTTACCCTCTCACCTTCACGAACTTGTTTGAAATACCATAATATTTATAATTTCAAAATAATCTCATTCCCGAGCTTACGTCGATTAACTTACGACGAAACTTTAACATATGAAAATGCGGGATGGAACATCTCATTTCCGAGCTTCCATCAATTTACTTATGGCTTACTTTCACGTACGAAAACATGAGGTGTAACATACGTGGCAGTGAAGACAGGTAAGTGATGAGTCAGCAAATGGGTAGCACCGGTTATAAGCGTGTGACCGATATTATATAAGTTCCGAAGGTATCAAGACCAGTGACGAGAGTTTGAAAGTAAGGTACCATTTGGAGAGGATAACATTAAAGGAGCAGCCGTTACATAAAATTATAACATTTATTCTTAACTGTTATTTAGCTATCAAGAAGGGGGTTTTACTCGCCTTAAAGAGGAGCATGATTTGGGGATCTTGTCTCCTCTAATTTAACTATAAATAGTGAAATTTATACTCATTGAAGGACACAAAATACTTGTACGAAAAAATGCTGACACTATTCTCTCATCGATAAAATTTTATTTTATTGTTATTAAGATTTTCGCATTGTTCTTGACCCCGAAGAGATCAATTTGAAGCTCTAATTTGTTTTTTCCTCATTTATCCTTATTTTACTTGCTTTGCTCTTTATTATTTTATTTTATCGGATCAATTTAATTCACGCGTCTATAAACCACGTAACAAATTCAACTGTGCCTATTTGCGAGTAAACAGTTCAGATTTATCACATATCACATCTCATTCCTCTATTTATATAATTACCTTTAGGCTTACACAAAGATTGCCTTAAACATGACATTAATAATTTGGATTATGGGGAAGATCATGGAAGATTACGGAGGTGTGAAAGTTATAACTATAATAGTGAGGAGTAATAGGAATTAATTACATAATGGAGAAAAGTATTGGGAACAGTGGATATCCATAGTAAATACTATAATTTACAATAAAATAATCTATACTATATTAAAAGCACGAATGCCCTTAGCGAAATGTCGTTCGCCTTTTTTACCCTCTAAAATTTCATTTCATATTGGACAAACTTGTAATTTAATCATTTTTTATAATTTAGAATTTTAAAATCAATATATTTTATTATTAAATATTTCTTTTTTGAACTATGTGCAAACTCCTGATATTTAGGTTGTATAAATTTGTTCCTTATTTGGCTTCTATCCTATATATAGTAGTTAAAGTATGCACACGTAATTGAAGTTTACTTTACTAGCACATTAGGACGAGTAAGAATAAGTCTTTAAATAAGTTTAAAAACGACATGCCTACGTTCGAAAATAACAATTATTTATAGTCATAATAAATATATACTATTATGTAGCTTAAGTTTATATTTAAATATCGCAATATATACTTATATAAAATCATAAACCCAATTATAAAATTCGATAAGGAATCATAGATAAGATATTCAAATTTATTGAGATTAATAGCAATAGGCCGTGCTTTAATTTATAAGAAATTGCATATTTCTTTAAAATCTTTTTTTAGTTGAACAATACCGGAAATCCTTATATTCAGGTAATTTTATTTTGTATATTTTATTTGTTTATTTGAGTTATGTAACATAATTATAATACCTTTCATTTATTTTGTAGGACATAATGAAACATGCGCTTTTAAAACAAGCCATAAATATTTATATGGATATATATCATCTTATTTAGAGTAAATTAAAAGGTTTAAGGTTAAATTATTTCTAAAATAAAAAAGTATGATATTCTTTTTTGGGACAGACTAGAAAAAAAAGTATGACACATAAATTAAGATAGAAAGACTAGAATTTTAAAATCAATAAAAAAATTATCTTGTATATACTCATTAAATGAACGAGGTAACATAACGACAATTCATTCGGAAAGTATGCAGTAAGGTAAAATAAATAAACTTCTTACCAAAAAAGTATTAGAAATTTATGTTGCAGCCTTCACACGCAATTACAGTTAAAGCAACAAAGATAACCCATAAATATGAGTTTATTATTTCATGTTAAAGCAATACTTATACTATGAGAGACACAAAATCATCATCATTCAATTTTTTTTTTTGTGGCAATTTACACTTTTTTTCTTTCATTTTAATTTATATCTCAACCATATTTATATTTTTACCAATATTTATAACATGCAGTTTTATGAATATTCATTTATAATATTTATAAAGTATAGTCTTGCGCATACCTAAGACTAAGTATTTCTTATATATATTCATTTTCATGGCTCATGGCTCATGGCTTATAAATTTCAGTTTGGGTTGTTTTTGAAGTTTTGTGAGTGAAAATTTTAAAAAATAATTTTTTGTAATTTTTTAAATTTTTAAAAATTTTCTAAATATATTTTCAAGTAAAAATTAAAAATTTTATGAACATAAAAAAAAATAAAATTGTTTTGGAAAAATCTTCAACCAAATTGTATGTCCAAACGGGCCCTTCTTTTATTGATACGAGGTAAAAACAGAAGGTGAGATTATTACTAATCCCTCAAACAACTGTGCTTTCTCTCGTTTACTCTTTGCAGTCTTGCCTCGACTTCTTCACCTTCTTGCCCGTCTTTCTCTCATTCTGAGCTTCCATATCATCCCTATACCTTCCTCTCTTATACACCCACCAATTTTACCAATTACCACAGGATAATTTTTTTTTCCCACCCTAAACTTTGTTTCCCTGAAAGAAGGGTCGCGTCTGTATCCAATCTAACTAATACCCACAACAAAATCATCTTCTCCGCACCTTAGGTTTTTCTCTGTAGGGTTGCCGCGGTTGCATCCTTTATCCTTCTTTTCACTGATAAATACTGCTTGATTTTTCTCTGTAGGGTCTTCTTATCTAACTCGCTTTTATTCTATTTATCGACATATGTATCAGAATTGTATATTTTGAAAGCACCGTTTAAAAATTAAATTAGGTTAAAAAAGAAGAATCTTTGGAACCGTTCAATCGAATTCCCCCAAAGTTATGGTGTCTTCGATCATATGCCACGTGGGACCCAGTGAAGCAGAGACGAATCATACCCCATTCTACTCTCGAAAGAGATTAAAGCCTTCGGATTCACAGGGTTCTATTGAGGATGAAAATCCCGCTGATGTACTGTCTACAATGGAGTTCACTATTGGGTATTGCCTGATTTTACCATGTCTAATTTTTATTTTCAATTGGTATATTTGCACTTTTAGTCCCTACTTATTGCCAAATTCTAATTTGGTCCTTGTGATATATGGTTAAACACATTTAATTTTCAATTAAAGGAAATGTGCTCTTTTGATCCTTCTACTTGTAAATTTTCACAAATATAACGAATTGGTAACTGTTAAACCATTCAACTACACGTCTATTGTATTAATTTTGTCTTGCTACTCCATATTTGAGGGTAATATAATTCTAAAAATAGTCTATATACCATATTTTCTATGTAAAGGGACCAAAATCATACTTTTTAATTAATTCAAGGTTACATATGCTGAGTGAATCTCAGGTTCAAATCGCAATGAAGGCAAAAAAGACACTAGGTGATTTCTTCCCATGTGCCTTAAGACTTAGTTGGCAGAGTTAGTGGGTACCTGTGCTGGGGAGGTAGCAAGTACGCACAAGTTGGCCCAGATTCCACCGACTTAACAAAAAAATGCGTAGTGAAATATCACAAGGACTAAAATCAGGGGAATCATAGTAGTTAAGTTGGTTGGCTATTGGCTATCTGAACTTTCACCTTATTGGTGAGGGTTCGATTACCCACCTTGTAATCCCCTTCCCCATTTCCCACTAGAAAAAAAACAAGGACTAAAATCAGAATTTACTAGTAGCAGATGGATCACAAGTGCAATTATCCCTTTTCAATTTTATGTGCACACTTCACACTATTTATGCTTTATTGTTTCTTCTGTTTTTCCGGGCTTGGTGTGATATTATCAGTTGCTTGAAAAATCTTGGTTCACCATTATGTGTGGAAATGAGTTGCCAGTCTAATGGGGAGATTGAGAATGTTTCATCGCCTCGTGATGTCGGTGGCAGTTCAGTGGGTGACAAGATCAGTATAGTGTACCCTCAACCTCCACTTGCAACCGGATGGATGTATGTCAATCAACAGGGTCAAATGTGTGGTCCTTACATTAAAGAACAATTATATGAGGGTCTATCTACTGGTTTCTTGCCTGAAGAACTTCTGGTTTATCCCATCTTAAACGGGACTATTTCAAATGCAGTGCCCTTAAAGTATTTCAATCAATTTCCTGACCATGTTGCAACTGGCTTTGCTTATTTAACTGTTTCGTCCGGACCGATGAATAAGTTCTCCGGAGTTGCCAAAGACTTAGGAGGAAATGGGGTGGAGTTGCCAACAACTTCCCCTTACTCTGACTCAGAGGCTAAACATGGAACTCATTCCTTGAACCAGCATATCTCGACCACTGGCTTTGTGGGAACAGTTGCTCCCTCTATGTCTATGGTACTTTCTCTTTTTTGTTCTGAGGTGATTCTCTTATAATTATTAATGTAATTATGGAATCTGGATGAAACAAATATACTTTTATTGTATTTTCTGCTATTCTGATTCCCTATTTATGACCTTCCTTTGCTTAATATTTTGTGTGAAATAGGACTACGAGGAATCGTGTTGGCTGTTTGAGGATCATGATGGGAGGAAACATGGGCCGCACTCTCTTGTAGAGCTTTATTCATGGTATCATTATGGTTACATTCTGGATTCAGTGACGGTGAGCCTTATATCTTCCTTAGCATTTTGTAAGTCTTTAACCTAGCACTATAGCACATGGTGCAGCTGTTTCTCCTACTATCCCACTCATTCTGCTGGAAGATGTTTTTTTTTGTTGGATGTACCATTGGATTTTCTAAGCTATATGCGAAACTGTATCTATGTAAATGGTGCACCAGTTTTGATGGGTGGTGCTACTGATCACTTAACTTTTTCAAAATTCAATATGACTGGGTTTTAGCGGAAGTACAAAAGCTGGGAGAACTCTTTCAACTAAATATTAGTATTGTTTTTATAAGTGATATGATTTTTATTAGAGAAGCAAACTTGGGAGGTGGGGAAGTAGCCCCTTTTTTGAACAGTCAAGTAAGGGACAGGTATGCATTATTTGTATAGACAACTCAGGAGAAGAGGCTCTTTTTGTGATAATCTTGAAAGTAGGAACGTTATAGGATTCATTTCTTTTTTCTTGTTCTTTTTGAAAAGGTAATAGGATTCATTTCTATTAAGGTGAATTCTTAGAATTTCTGTTGCGACAAAGTTCTATTACCATAGTTAGTGCCATATTTCAAAGGTGTCTTGATCTTAATTCTGTGTGGGCCTGTTAGATTTCGATTATTCTTGTTGTCACTTTCTTCCTCCTGACTTCTGTCAGTTGGTCTTAGTTAACCCATAGTCTCTTCTCTTTTTATCCGCACGTTATTCCCGCACATCTTCTAATATCTCTAACTTTGCCAGTATAGCTTTCCTATATTCTTTGCTCTTGTTGCCGGGTTAAAGCTCTTGTCACAACTTGAAAAGGTTTGTTTATTAACTGTTTCTCTATTCTACTTTATATCATTTGTCCCACGTTGCATTCTCCAAACCAAACCCAAAGATACTTCACAATTCTGTTAAGTAGTCTCCCCTTTTCTTATCTTCACATCAGTTGAACTTTATTTTTTCATTATGAATTATTCCCATGAGTTTCAACTGCTTCTCTTTGTTTTTCTAGCCTCATATAGCTCAATTACTAGTTTGGATTCTAGGCAGTTGAAAAGACTGTTCATGGTTCTCATCGCCAATTAGTTTAAAATCAAAGTTTGCATCCATAGATTGGTAATCACAAGAGAATCCTACTCTTAACTCGTCGCTTTAATTTTTTCTTAGGTTTCTGGACTAATTGTTTCAGTGTAAATTAGGGCCTCTACTTGAATTTTTTTGGGTACATTTGCTTCTCATTCAAACCTATTTATTTGCTTTACTCAGTAGGTTATTTTTTTTTTACACTGCTCTTTGAATTTTTGGTCCCATCGGAGTGTTGTGGCAATAATGCTATGGTAATGAAGCACTAATTAAGTTTTTTTTCTTGGTTTTGTGTTGATTTGAAGATTTTGACCTTTTTTTCCTCGTTGGCTGTATTATTGGAGATTTTCCAAATTTTTCATGCAAGGTGGCACCGAACCTAATTGGTATGTGCTCAATGTTTTCTTTTTCATGTTTACTTTTGCAGATACATCATGCTGATAGTAAGTTCAGACCCTTTACTCTGAAATCTTTAATAAGTAGTTGGACTACGGCTACCCCTGGAGCTCTTATGTCTAATTCCAATGGGCATGAGACTGCCTTTCTACCAGATTTTGTATCTGAGATTTCTCATGAAGTATGCTCACAGCTTCATATGGTGATCATGAAAGCAGCTCGTAGGACTCTGCTTGATGAGATTGTTAGTCATGCAATTTCAGAGTGCATCTCTAAAAAGAAAGATCGCAAGAAAGTCACTAATCAGTCTGTCAAAATGTCCTCCCCTAGTACCAGAATGGTAAATAACATTCAAGCATCAAATTGACATTTAGAATCTTGCGTGCTACTTATCATTTATGCTGTGAACAGTCTGCAGGTTTTAGTGGCAGTAAGGCCTTAGTTGCTCCTGAGAGCAGTACAAAAGCTCCTAATCTTCTTGACCAGAAATCTCCTACTGCTGAAATTTCTTTGCAGTCTTCAGGAAGTTCAAAATCTGTCGGAAGCTTTGAGAACTTTTGTGATTCTTATACAGTTGTTTGCAGAACGTTATTTGACTCTTCCATGCAAAGCATCTGGAATGCAGTCTTCTGTGACCATGTCTCAGAGTTTGCATCTGCGTGGAGGAAGAAAAAGCGATGGTCACCTCCTTGTCCTATGGTTGAATCAAAAATTCTAGCAAAGTCGTACACCAATTGCACCACAAAGCTCTCTACTAAAGTTGTAAGTTTTTTATGCTGTTGTTTTTCCTGTCATTCTGCAGTGCTTATATATCCTGTCTTATTGACAGACTTATGATTTTGTAGTTGCAAGTGGAGGAAGAATCTTTTGGCTGTGATCTTTATTTACCTCCAGGGTTTGAGGAGAAGATTGTGACAGTGGATTTGCCTTCAGTGTTTTCATCAAAAGATTGCACCACAAAGCTCTCCACTGAAGTCGTAAGTTTATTATGCTGTTGTTCTTTCCTGTCATTTTGCAGTGCTTGTGTCTCCTGTCTTACAGACAGATCTATGACTTTGTAGTTGCAAGTGGATCAAGAATCTTTCGGCTGTGATATTGATCTCCCTCCAGGGTTTGAGACAAAGAATGTGACAGTGAATTTGCCTTCAGTTTCGTCATCAAAAGATTGCACCGCAAAGCTCTCTACTGAAAGCGTAAGTTTTTTATGCTGTTGTTTTTTCCTGTCATTTTGCACTGCTTGTGTCTCCTTTCTTACAGACAGACCTATGACTTTGCAGTTGCAAGTGGAGCAAGAATCTTTCGACTTTGATCTTGATTCCCCCCCAGGGTTTGAGACAAAGAAAGTGACAGTGGAGTTGTCTTCAGTTTCTTCATCTTTTAATGATGAAAAGGGGTTGTCCAAATCCAGTCATGCTATGGACTCTGAAGCTAATGACCGTATGCAACTTATCCTTGAGAGTGTATTGGAAGAACTCCACCTGTCTGCTAAGATGTCATTGGAAGAATACTTTACCAGCCTTTTGCATGAAGAGGTGACGGGAAAAGTTTCCCTTGAAGATGGCATGATAATCAAGGTGAATGTCTGAACTTGCTGTAATTTTTGTATACTTTATGCTCTCTCCCCTAGAAGAGGATAGGTGGTGGAGAGATTTTGTTGAAGTAATGCCTTACCTGCTAATGTTTTCCCCTGTACAATTGGAGACGCCAATGTGTTACCAAATATAGTGAATTTCAGTTTCTCAAGGAACAGTTTTATTCTGCAGGTTGCTGAGGACTCGAATATCTGTCTTGGTGTTGCAAGTGAAAATGATTCTTCTGATGCCATTTCGGTTTCAAAAAACTTATCATGTATAGATATTCAGAACACTTCACCGCTCGAAAAATCATTGCACCAGAACTCTATTGATACATACATGATTCCTTCATCTTATTGTCTTTCAAGTGCATTTCAGAAGTCTGCTTGTTTAGACAATGCCACCATAGATGAAATGACTGACGAGCTGCAACCACCTCAATGTGAAGCTGTTCCTGTGCAAACTTCTAAAGTTCGGCTTGCTAGGTCTGATGATCATATTCTGAGGATAGTATGGTATGCTATCCTGTCAAATTGCCGGCAGAAGTTACACGAGAAAGCACTGGGAGAGTTGAAATTTTTTCTTCTTGACGACGTTAGAAAATTTTTGACGACTTGGTGTTCTGCGAAGAGACGTGGTAAACCAGAGGATTCTGAGGTGAGTGCAAATTTTGGGCTTCTTAGTGCTGTCAGTTCAAAGAGTTAATTTTTTACCCCAGTTCAGTGAGTTAATCTTTTTCCTCAATTCAGTTAATTTTTTACCCTCGATTTGGAGGCTAATTTCTCCTTAGTTTAAAGAGTTAAGGTTTGCTGAATGTACTTCTGCTTTGTCAGGTTACAAGAAGCAAAGCATATAACGAGAAACGTGATAACTCTCCAGTTGCATTGAGCAAAAGCGTGGATGATTTTCCTAAGGCACCTACAGTAGCAGGGAAATACACATACTACCGGAAGAAAAAGTTGGTCAAAAGAATGTCAGGTTCTTCACTGCAGCCTCTCCCTGATAGAGACGTTGGCTTTCAAAAGAGATCTTCTTCCAAGTCAAGGAAACAAGATCTCTTGGGGGAGGCAACAGAGAGCACTAAAGGTGTCAATGCAGCTTCAAGTGTTAAGGAAATTGGGCTGAAAGAATGTCGCGGAGAGTTGTTCACTAATGCTTCTTCAGTTACTCCTCCATCATCGCTTATTAATTGCAACACCATCTCAGAGAAGGTTGCCTCTGTTTCCCGAGGTATTTCAGTTTTCCTGAGTTTTCTCAAATGTCATTATATTTTTTTGTCATGTTTATCGTACTTGTACCAAATTTTGCAGCAGAGAGAAGTAATGCAAGCCGCAATAAACTGAAGGCTACTTTTGTCGTTGAGGACTCCAGTAATAATGGAAAGGTTGATGGAGACGTTGGCTTCAAAAAGAGATCTTCTAACAAGTCAAGGAAACAAGATCTCTTGGGGGAGGCAACAGAGAGATCTAAAGGTGACAATGCAGCTTCAAGTGTTAAGGAAATTCGGCTGAAAGAATGTCGCAGAGAGTTGTTCACTGATGCTTCTTTAGTTGTTCCTCCATCACTAGTTATTAATTGTAACACCATCTCAGAGAAGGTTGCATCTGTCTCCCGAGGTATTTCAGTTTCCTGAGTTACTCTATTCAAAAGTCATTATATTTCTTGGTCATGTTCGGTGTACTCAGTTATTAATTGTAACACTATCTTAGAGAAGGTTGCATCTGTCTCCCGAGGTATTTCAGTTTTCCCGAGTTACTTTATTCATAAGTCATTATATTTCTTGGTCATGTTTGGTGTACTGTACCAAATTTTGCAGCGGGGAGAAGTAATGCAACCCGCAAGAAACTGAAGTCTACTTTTGTTGCTGAGGATTCCGGTGATATTGGGAAAGTTGATGGAGACGTTGGCTTCAAAAAGAGATCTTCTAACAAGTCAAGGAAACAAAATCTCTTGGGGGAGGCAACTGAGAGCACTAAAGGTGACAATGCAACTTCAAGTGTGAAGAAAATTGGGCTGAAAGATTGTCACAGAGAGTTGTTCACTAATGCTTCTTTAGTTGTTCCTCCATCAGTGGTTATTAATTGTAACACTATCTCAGAGAAAGTTGCATCTTTCTCCAAAGGTATTTCCGTTTTCCTTGGTTACTTTTCTCAAATGTCACCAGAATGGACATTATATTTATTGATCATGTTTATCACACTACTAAATTTTGCAGTGGGGAGAAGTAATGCAAGCTGCAAAAAACTCAAGGTTACTTTTGACTCTGAGGGCTCCAGTGACAATGGAAAGGTAGCTGAGGTTGTGAACAGCGAATTGGGCACACTTGAAATGGAACCTTCTGCTTGTTTGAAAAAGACTCCTCAATGTTAGTGTTTAAGTATCATCTAAATTGTGCTCTATCTTTCCTTCGTTTATGTTATCACTGTTCGCATGATCTCCCATGTTTATTTCCTCTATAATAAGTCTTGTTTGGGCTATTGAGCAGTGGCCAAATTACCGAAGTTGAATAAGAGAAAACTCGAGAATAATATGTCAGCATCTCGTTCAAGAAAAATTCAGAGAGTATCAAGTGGTGCTGGCAGCCAAGCAGCAACGAAGGAGGTTGTTGTAGAGAAGAAACAGAAGGGTAAATCCCGGACAGCAAAGCATTGTCCACAATCAGATGGCTGTGCTCGATCTTCCATCAATGGTTGGGAATGGCATAAATGGTCGTTGAGGGCAACTCCTACTGAAAGGGTTCGTGTTAGGGGAATTACTATTGATCATATTCAATCTGTCAGTTCAGATGCTAATGGTTCTCAAGTGTTGAATGCTAAGGGAATTTCTGCAAGAACAAACAGGGTTAAGTTGCGCAACCTCCTTGCTGCTGCCGATGGTGCAGATCTCTTGAAAGCTACTCAGTTGAAGGTAACATGAGAATGCACTAAGTTATAATTTTTTTTGGATTTATTTGTTTTTTGTAATTTGTTATATACAAGTTACATATCATCTCTGTCTTTGTTAGGCGAGGAAGAAGCGCCTACGCTTCCAACGAAGTAAGATACATGACTGGGGTCTTCTTGCCCTTGAGCCGATTGAGGCTGAAGACTTTGTCATTGAATATGTTGGGGAGCTTATACGTCGGCGTGTAAGAGCATTATTGCCCTTCCTGAAGTACATTCCAGCATGCTGCTTTTGCCTAAGTCTTCTTCATCCATTTTGGTGTCTTAGCTTTGTTTAATTTGTGGCCAAATAGTTTTGTTTGATTGTCTGAAACACTAATCTCAAGTGCTCATTATTTGAACTGTTACTCAGTTTTTGAGCTTTTCAGGTATCCGACATACGAGAGCACTATTATGAGAAGATTGGAATTGGGAGCAGTTACCTTTTCAGACTGGACGATGATTATGTGGTGAGAAAGTATTTTGAGAATTCAATTTCTTGTACTATTTACTTGATGATACAGATTTCTCACATGGTTTTACTTAAGATAGAAAAAGAAACTTTATTAATACAGGAAGCTAGAAATTCTATTCTAGCTGTACTCTGTCTATATCTATCCAAAAAAAGCCATTACTCTTGGATCACACTGATGTAATGAAACTCACTCATCCCAAATCTATTTTGGTCCATATTGCTGTTAAAATGTTCTGGTAGTACTGTCTGATCGAAAAGACCATGTTATAGAAGCACGAAGGCAGACGCACGAAGGCATTATTTTCTTAGTGTTCCAAAATCTGGTAGTAATAAGCTCATTAAAAAGTCTTTCCCTGTATCCCGGACAATATCTCAGTGTATAGAGCAATGCAAAAAGGCATTATTTTCTTCTTCTGCTGCTCGAAAGCACTTTTTGTTTTTGGCTGAACTCCTCAAATCTTAAAAAAGTGCTTTGGCCCCAAAAAGTGCTTTTGGCTTCCTAGAAGCTTGGCCAAACAGACTATTACTAAGGAGCATTTATGACATGTCAAACTAGAAGTAGGATTGGTGTTTAAGAAACTATAATTAATAAAAAAAGATGATTCACACATCTCTCCTCAAGCCTTAAGTAGTTTGGGATTGAGGTATAGAGTAGTAGTTGTTGTACACATCTCCGTTCACCTTCCCTTATGTGTCAAATTTCATTTTTTCTGTAACAAATTACCTATCACTAGAATGAATCACTATTATCAGGATATTGACTTTTCACCCTCACAATCTTAACTAAAACATTTTGCAGACCATTATTTAGTTTACCTTCTTGTTTCATGTCAAACAAACTAGGTAGAAGCTTTAGATGAATCTAATGGTGACAAATGCAACTGTCTGTAATTAATATAGGTTGAAAGCTATCTGTCCAAAATAAAAATGGAAAAAAGAAGTTAATAGCTTTAATTTAAGATTTTATTTCCATATTTATTTAATCTGTACTTCCATATGTTGCACCTACGAATGGAAGCCAGAAACCTAACAGGAATGAGAAAGAAAAAGCAAATGGAAACACCCTAAGAGGTTGGCCTAGCGGTTAAAGAGGTGGAGTAACAACAATAGTGATCAATGCTCGAGCCCTAGCAAAGGCGACTCTAGGTGAATTTTTCCCATCTACCTAAATAATTGGTGGGTAGAATTACCTGATACCTGTGGTGGTGGGAGGTCGTAGGTACTCAACGGATTAGTCAAGATGAGTTGACTAAAGATGTGAAAACATGCACAACAATATACGAAGTTATTAAATTGGAAAATCACACAAATATACGCACAAAAAAGATTGAGATCTGGAGTTTATCTTTTTAACAAGGAAAAAGCCTGTAGAAATATTACAAACACCTAAAGATATGTATTAATCAAATTTAATACATAACACTAAGAGCTTCTCATTCCTGAAGCAAAACTAAGTTGAATGAGGGATTAACACTTGGCCTACTATGGGCAAAATCTTTTAGGGGTAAATTGGTTATCTCACCGATTGATTGGAATCTTTTGGGTATTTAATGGTTTTGTGACTTAAAGAATTGAATACGGAAGATTTATGTAGTGTGTGAAACATATACTTAGCAAGATCACTAGTAAAGAAATCAAGAAGTAATTATTTCCGGATCTTATGTTCTTTAAATGCGCAGCTTATCAGTCAAGACACCTGGTTGCAAACGGAAGATATTAGTTCACTACCCGAAAAGCCGAAAGTTAGACCCCAATACTGAAGTATGGTCTAAAGAAGTTTAACACCTAGCTACAACAACAACAACTACCCAGTAGAATCCCACCAGTGGGGTCTGGGGAGGGTAGAGTGTACGCAGACCTTACCCCTACCCCGGAGGGGTAGAGAGGCTGTTTCCGGGAGACCCTCGGCTCAGAGTCTAACACCTAGATAATTGCTTATTAAGGTTACGTAGTGGAATTGGACTTGTTCCCATTCTACAAACCAGATTGATCTACATATTAGGTTTGTTATTGAAATGAGATACACTTGTATAGAGCTGAATGGATACATATAGTTGAATAATTGATTGATAAATTGAATTGTCAAGTTTTAAATGGTGTAATAACTGCTTAATGGAACCACATGACTGTTCAGTTGAGCTGGATCTGAAAATCAATTGCTACTAGATTCCCAAACATGGGGATTAATATTTGGGAAAAGGGCCAAGTATACCCCTCTACTTTCATATATTGTCTATATTTGACCTCCGTTATACTATCGGGCCAAATTTACCCCTGCCGTTATACTATCGGACCAAATTTACCCCTACAATCAGCAAACTTTTAAAAATACTCCTTGATCTGTTAAGTAATCCAAAATCTCCCAAATTCCTTTTATTTAAATCACTTGTTGTTCTTCTTGGTCCACTAATTTTGAAATAATTGGCATTTACCTGCTTTCTAAATTAGAGAAAAACAAATAAGAGAAAAAAATATTAAATAATACAACCGAATAAACAAAGTATAGTAAATTGAAAAATCTAAATTAGGTAGCTTTTCTAAATTTTAAAAGTATTTACAACATCCCAATTTTAATGATTTCGTTGCACCAAATGTATGGAGACTTTGCAAGTATTAGTGATTGAAGTTGAAGTTCCTCGGAGACTTTACATTGTCTAATTCAACTTTGCTTTAATTAAATGCCTACACATTATGCACTCTTAAGTTAGTCGATCGAACTCTATACTAACCAGGCAATGACAAAATAAATTTGAATATACATGTACATACATGATGATCAACTGCATATAATACACTATAGACCCACTAAATTCTACGGTGTGTATATGATTGAAAAATAAAAAAAATTCTAAACCAATTTTATTTATTACAAGAAGAGAAATGGGTGCATTGGTAATTAAAAAAGAATTATGAATAATTTGTATAGTCTAGTAACTTTAACATTCACATCAATAGTAATTTTTGAAAATAATGGAGCAAGAAGAACAACAAGTGATTTAAATAAAAATAATTTGGGAGATTTTGGATTACTTAACATATCAAGGGGTATTTTTAAAAGTTTGCTGATTTTATGGATATATTTGGCCCGATAGTATAACAGTAGGGGTAAATTTGGCCTGATAGTATAACGGAGGTTAAATGTAGACAATATATGAAAGTAAAGGGGTATATTTGGCCCTTTTCCCTTAATATTTGGATTGCTAATTCTTGTAATTGAAATTGCTGTTGTTTGTTTCTGAATGGTGGATGCAATTCGCACTTTACCAGGGGCTATAGTGACCGTGATAACCCTGGGTATAATGCTAAGTCTAAAGGAATACTCCTCCAAATCATGCAAATTTTCTGGGAGTTAAGTCTAATTAATTCGATGTTGAAACAATAGTCATATTATGTTGTATATTATGAGAATTTGATGGAGATTGAACCAACATTTCTTAATAACTGACTGATTCTTGTTCAGGTTGATGCAACAAAACGTGGTGGTATAGCCAGATTCATAAACCATTCTTGTGAGGTAACGTTCTTACCGTTAGAATTACATGACTCTGTGATATGAAGTAAGTACTGCAGGTTTTTCCATTCAACATAACGCCATCCGTTTGATTTTAATGAATGTTGCAGCCGAATTGCTATACAAAAGTTATAAGTGTTGAGGGTCAGAAAAAGATCTTCATATATGCTAAGCGGCATATTGCAGCTGGTGAAGAGATTACTTACAATTACAAATTTCCTTTGGAGGAAAAGAAGATCCCCTGCAACTGTGGTTCCAAGAGGTAATATTTTGGTCGAAGATTGAATTCTTAGCTAAGGTTTTCTTTTTTGATAAAGAAATTCTTACCTAAGTTTTTATTGTCTCTGCGATATAAAACACGAGGTATATGACGGGAAGAAATTTATTGCTAGTTTTATCCTGTGTTTGATAGTTCTGTTGGTGAAACACAATCTCCTTAACAAGATGACAGTTGACGAGTATGTTTTTTTTTCCTTTTCTGGATGACATTTGGACAAGACTTGCATATTAATTCTCTGGATCGTATAAATTTGTTGCGTTTTAGCTATCAACTTGTGTTTTTGTTCAAGTGCATAACTGTTATACTCTCTGATTCTTTTCCAAGCCGTTTATTTCTCCAGCGATGTCTTAAAACTGTTATTTCTGTTAGCTTTCTTCACTCAGTCTTGTTAAGGATCAGGAAAGGCCTTAGCTTATTTTGTTAATATATACATGACTTATTAGGTGTCGTGGCTCAATGAATTGAAATGGAAAGGAGATGCCAGATCTGATGTGTTCTGCTGCTGTATTTAGGTATCTTAAATTTACTTCTGAAGTTTCTTGAGTTTAATCTTTTCGCTGTCTGTTTTCGTATATACTCACTTCTTTTTCTTCTTCTTAGGGTCCTTTCTTGACTGATGGTTTCCAAGAACACTCGCTCTGCAGTTTTGCAGACAGATATTGTCATCATGTACATATAGTAAGCAATGATGTTGTCAATAGCAGCTCTTTTTTTACTGTTTCTAGAAACCAATTTATACCTTGTAGTGGAATTATTGTTTTCTGAATATAGCCATCTTTCCCTACTTGTGTTTCATCTGCATTTTATTTTGTCACTATTTTTGTTGTATCTCAATCCTGCTCCAGCATATGTTGTGCCTCTGAATTGCTGTAGATCATCCACTAGTAGATTCCTTTTCTCCCGTCTGTAATTTAGACAATCTACTGCGTCTCTTCCAATGCTTCAGTACCTGGATTAAGATGAGATATATGTATTGCCTCTAGGTGAGGAACATATGGAAGTTCTTTTTGGTTAGGTCTTTGTACACATCAGGGATCATAAAGTCAGGTGTGTCTAAAGGTCCAGGACCTCGACCATCAGAATCCTGGTGGTGGAATGATGAGGTACAAAGAGTAAATAAAGCTAAAAGAGAGTGTTATAACTATAGGAAGTTGCCAAAAGCAGAAGAGGAGAGAGAAGCCTTTGCAGAATACAAGAGAGGTAAATAGGAAGCTAATTAAGCTATTAGTGAAGCCCGAGAGGAAGCTCTAGATGGCTTGTACCAAAAGGGGACACGAGAAGGGGAGAAAGAAATGTTTCAACTAGCACGACTGGGAGGAAGAAAGATAAGGATTTAAACTAGGTGAAATGTATTAAAGACGATTCTCAACAAGTGTTGAAAGGAGATAATGAGGTCAAGGAGAGATGGAGAGGCTATATTGATCAATATCTCAACTCTAACTAAGGCTCGAACCGAGGGTCTCTTGGACACAGCCTCTCTACCTGCACAAGGTAGGGGTAAGGTCTGCGTCCACACTAGTCTCCCCAGACTCCACGTGTGGGAATATAGTGGGTATGTTGTTGTTGTTGCTCAACTCTAACTAAGATAATAACATTTTAGACCTCCACACATCTGTGTACACAGGAACTTAAGCTACACTCGGAGAATTAGCGACAGAGGTAAAGGATGCTATGAAAATATGAAGATTAGAAGAACTTGTGGTCCATATAATATCCCTATAGAGGTTTGGAAGTGTCTTGGAGAGGTTGGAGTAGAATGGCTTACCAAGCTGTTCACCGCTATACTAAGAAGTGGTGTAGGATACCCCCAGAGTTGAGTAAGAGTACCCTAATCCCAATTTATAAGAACAACGGAGATATTCAAAGTTGTTTGAACTATCGTGGCATTAAACTGACGATTCATACATTGAAACTTTGGAAAAGAGTAATAGAGCGTAGACTTACAAACACGACAAGAGGGACAGAGAATCAATTTGGATTTATGCTAGGTAGATCTACAATGGAGGCTATATTCTAGTTAAGAAGATTGATGGAGTTTATCGCGAAAGGAAGAAAGATTTACGTATGGTGTTCATTGACTTAGAGAAAGTATATGATATAGTACCACTAAAGGTCCTTTAGTGGGTGATAAAGAAGAAAAATTCATATTAAACATATAAATGCCATAAAGGACATGTATGAAAGAGTCGTCGCTAGCGTGAGAATAGTAGTAGGAGATACAAAGGAGTTTCCCATAACGGTGGATCTACACCAAGGATCAATGTTGAGACTCTGCTTGTTTACCCTATTTATGGATGAGCTAACCAACACAATACAATATAACACCCCATGGTGCGCGTGATTTGCTTATGATATTGTGTTAATTGACGAAACCAATGAGGGCGTCAACCAAAAGCTTGAACTATGGAGAAACACTTTAGAGAGTAAACATTTTAGGATAAGTAGAAGTTGACTGAATACATGCACTGCAAATTTAGTAAGCATAAAGTTGAGGTGAGACTAGAAGGTATTACAGTGCCAAAATATATGCAATTTATATATCTAGGATCGTCGTTTCAAGAGAATAGATAGATGAAGATGTTACTCATAGAATTTAGATCAGATGGTTGAAATGGAGAATTGTTGAGTGTTATGTGATGGAAAGATGCCTACTAAAGTGAAATGTAACATAACAACTATAAAAGTGACAATGTTATGTGGTAGTAAATGATGGGCTGCAGAAGCCCAACATAACCACAAGATGACTATTGCAGAGATATGAATATGAAAATGGATGTGCAGTCATACAAGATTAGATAAGATTAAAAATGACTATATATGTCATAAAGTGCAAATAGTACGCATTGAGGGTAAAATGGGAGGTCCCGTGAGATGGATTTGGCCATGTCCTGCGTCGACCTACACATGCACCAATCTGTTGGTGTGAGATTATGATGAGTGAAGGTGTCAAAAGGGGACAAAGTAGATCTAAAATCACATGGATGAAAGTTATCTCGAAAGACCTACAAATTCTTGGAATTAATGCAGACTTAGCTAAAAAAAAGACAAAATGGAAGAAAGAGATTTATATAGGTGATATCTATTAGTTAGGAATATGTTTTAGTTTTGTCAGAGAACATCTTGTATTCTTATTATTATTACGATTATTTATATAGAATTATTTTGGTACGATTATGACATGAGTTGAGCTGAAATGGAGAAGTGAAGATTCATGTTGCCGATCTAAACTTGGTTGGGATTGAGACATAGTTATTATTATTGTTGTTGAACGATCGGTGTAAATGTTAAAGTACTTCCATCTTTCATTCTAAAAGGAAAAGAAATAGTGTCAATTGCTCTTTATATGTATTGCTTGTTTTCTTGGTACCTATTTTGTCAGTCAGCTAGTGAAACCTCTTCATTAATGGGTTCAAGAGACAAGAGTGGGTTGCTCTAGTGGTGAGCACCCTCCACTTCCAACCAATATGTTGTGAGTTTGAGTCACCCCAAGAGCAAGGTGGGGAGCTCTTGGAAGGAGGGAAAAAAAAATGGGTTCAAGACATTTAGCTTAGTTGTTGATGTTATCACTTAAGCGACAGAGCTTACCCAGGAATGATATGAGTTTCTCTCATGCTACTTGGAGAGGTTATTATAGCCGATGAAGGGCCATCTCATTGAGAGGGAAGTCACAGAGGCTATCAAAGTGGTGTAAAGTGGTGTTGGCACCGATGCTACAGAGCTTCACATAACGCACACATGTGTATTGTACAGTGGCTAGGAATTCCGTCAAGGATATTCAAATTTTAAACAAGTTCGATGAATGGTGTACCAAAATTTTTAGATTAAACTACGCAATATTTAGTTAAATAATATTTTTTTTAAAAAATAGAACTATAATTTTATAAATCAAAATTAAAATAACAAAAAGACAACGTTAGAAATTTTACTTATAAAAGTAAGTATAAAACCAAAGAAAACAGAGAGTCGAAAGGATTTGTAGTTTGTAGAGAGCTTTTGTTGAAATTTGTTTTATAAAGCTTGACTTTTAAATTATAAATTTTTTTTAAGAAATAACTTTTAGTTAAAAATTAAAATTAGTTATCTATTTCTACACAAATTTTAAGTTTTAAGAGTTATTTTATTAGGATTTTTTTTAGATTGAAAAAGAATAAAATAGACCATACATGGTGGACTCCGTTTAGTTTTAGCAGAACTTTGAACCCGTGAAAAACACGTCATTTTGAACACCCTGAATCGCTGAACTGCCTCACTCAACTGTGTTAAGGGTGTTCAAAATATAATAAATAATCATATAAAGTAGTATTTAACTTATATACGCAGTATAATATTTCGGCGAAGGGTATGCGCTTAGCTACCCTTTGCGTAGTGTGGCTACGCCACTGATATTGTATATGCATTAATACATGGATATCTATGTTTGTGTGTGTATGTATTGTCAGTTTTCAGTGTTTTGATTCTAGACCTCTCTTCTTCTTCATCATAATCTCTCTTTGCTTGTGTGTGCGGTGTCTCTCTATCCTCCTGTTTTGTTGAGACAATTGATTTGGTTGTGTTCACCTTTTACTTTTGGCAATATGAAGAGTTATTCACTTGAGCTTCTTCGTGGTTGCATTTGAAGGTTGAATGTAGAAGGATCTGTACGAATTCCAAAAATGTAATACAATGCACGTATAAGACATAACCATTGAAGAATGGATGCTAATTTGGAGATGGATGTGGAGATTGCAAATCTTAATATAAGCTTTTTACGCCCATATGCTTTATTGTAACTTTGTTTTGCCAATTTGATGTCATTTCAGGGTTTGCCCTTGCAACTCTTAGTCGGGCGATACAAGATGCATACTCGTACTTCGGGGTTTACACATTCTTGTAAAAGGACGATGAGTGTGTGCCCCTTGCATATATTCTTGTAGATATCACAGTTGCAGATGAGTTCCTCCTCTTAAGAATTCAAAATCGGTTGTGCTTTATTATGCAATTTCAAGGCAATATTTTGGAATTATATATCTTGTACAGACATACATTATAAGTATACTTCACATTTTAAGTATGATAATATATCATATTCAGCTTCACAGAATTCAGAGCACTTTTTGGTTTTTTTGGTTGTTATGTTTGAGATATCTTGTCAATTAAAGTTGTGTGAGAATTCAGTAATGCTTTTAACGGTTATTGATGGCTCTACTTATTTTCTTCAAGCTTACATCAAAGAGTCAATATGCTGTGTTTTTTGTGAATTTAAGTCTCCATAATCTTTGCAGAGATACAAATGCTATAATGTGGTAACATAATAAGAGAGTATGCTCAAAATTCTAGTATGCCTTAATGTTTTTGAGCTTGAAACTTAGCAATCATGCGCAAATTCAAGTTGCTAAATCTAAATAGCATCCCTAACTTTTTCTTAGAGTTAAAACCATTTTCTAGTCTTGGGCTAACAATTCCTTAGACTGCAACGGCAAAGGTCCAAGTGTGGTTATTGTCAAGTTACTTGCAATTTAACAAAGACAACATTTTTTAAAGGTTCAGTGAAGTGGACGCAGATGTTGTAAAGGATATTGTTTTATTGTTGTTCTTGCCTTAGACATGAGTCATGACGTGATACCAATCCTAATTATTAATGACGCAGGAACAATCAGGTATTGCATGCCCATTCAATATTTTGCTTAGATGATGATGATGTGGGTTGACATCTATCTGGTACGTGTCTTCTATCCTCTATTTGGTTTTCTGCCTTCCACCCAAGCTGCAATCTAATTCGCATAAATGAATGCATCAAAGCGATGGAGGTTTCTTGCAATTTGCGAAAACACAAGTAATTGCAACAATGATTAAGCAGTTCTCAAGAAACTTCCATCCCCGGTTCTTGATCTAGGCACATGCCACGGGTTCAAACCTTGCTACAGACAAGCATGATAAATAAGTGAAGGGTAAAATAACGTATTCCTTGTCTATTGAGTTTCAAACAGCGTGTCACTAGCCTTCAGTGATTTCTCGTCTATCCAAAAAAAAAAAACCTAAAGAACCTCCAAGGGACAGCTTCTGTATGGGTTCAAGTGCATTGTCAGTTTGGCCGTGGGTCAATAATCAAATGGGGCAGCTCTTCGTTCATGGTAATATAATATATCACAATTTAGGGTGGAGCTCGTGATCTGAAGAGAGGGGAGGGTTTTTTTTTGGGGGTNCCTATACTTTACATGTACTCTTCATTTTGATTTCGCCTAAGTTACTCGCATGAAGATCTTAGTTTCGAGAGTCCAAGTCAGGGATTGGGTTGAGAGGGTCATAGTTCTAACTCCTATATACGTAGCTAATGGCCGTAAGACTTCTATCCATCCATGTTGAAGTTTTTGAGAAAGCAATTCTTTCAAAATACGATTAAAACCAACATGATCGAATACACCTTTTTCGGGTTCATGCTAAAATCCAGTACATTTATTAGACTCCAAGTTCAAGCTGGCACGCTTTTGATTTGTTGAAATTCAGGTTGATGTGTAATCAAGAACGGGTGGGAGACCAATCAATCGCCAATTTAACTGATTCAATCACCGAAAAATACTTTAAACGTATCTTTTTGCCATTCAAATGATTATTGTACTCATATACACACGCCCAGTATGCATGAATTTTTGGGTACATTAATCAGCTTTCTAATTAGTCTAGAGCCTTACTGTAGCCAACCGATCGTTTGATGTTAGTCTGCTTTAGCTCAAATTTGATGGCTATTTTGGTTTTGACTCTGTGGCATCTTTGCAAATATATCATATAATGTCACAAGTGAAAGACTCAAAACTTGAAAGAAAATATCAGGAACTCAGACATTCAAAAAATAAATGCTGTAGGCATTTTGTAGCAAAGGTTCCAAAACGAAACAAGCAAGAATCTATTGCTTCAGGAAGGGAACAGTATAGATGGTTGCTTGTTGAGGTAGGAAGATTGTTGATAAAATAGAAAGAAAAGGGAAAGAGGTGGCATCGTGTAGGAGAAGTCCTTTTTATGGACAATATCATCTTTGGATCGAACTAGATTCCCCATACAAAAGAAAAAGATCCCCATAATATAAGGAATGGTTTATTTTTGGCTAACTAGGTTGAGGTAGGCCCCACTGAATCTGTACTGGAGTAGATTCCGAAATCCTAGGAAAGCATCAAAATCATCATTACTAGTTTCATACAATATGAGTAGTGGATAGTGTCGTATTATTACCATCTTGTATTGGAGTGTTGTTGATGAGTAAGAATCTACTCGCATTTGTTATTTATATCAATAATACTAGTTTTAAGTATATTTTCCATCCCAATTTATGCGGCACTATATCCTTTTTACTTTCTTCAAAAGTATTTTTTTCCCATGCCTAATCTAAATACTCTCATACAAATTGAGAGGAGTGGGAGGGAGTACTAAATAAGGTGTGTTGATGTGCTACTTTATTTGGTAACTCCCATCTTTGTTCAAAGTGGGAGAAGAGGCTGGTCAATAGCAGGGTGTCATAAATCCTTAGCAAATGCGATTATTATAAGAATCAGAATAGATGTAAAAGCTAGAGGATGGACCCAATTGCTACGTATTTAAAAGCCATTTGAGCCATGTCATTTAAGCTACTTCCCCGTTTCAATTTAGATGATGTAGTTTGACTTGATACAAAGATTAAGAAAAAAAAAAAAGGTTTTTGAAGCATGTGGTCCTAAAAGCCTAAGGGAAAATGCTTTGTGGGGACATGACATCTGTGTGGCTATACAAATTTCTCATTAAGGGTAAAGTGAGTAAAATAAAAAGTTTAAAGTTAAATTATTTTCAAATAAGGAAATATGTCATTCTTTTTGGAACAGATTAATAAGGAAAGTGTGTCATTTTAATTGAAGCGGAGGGAGTATCATTTTGTTGTTTAAAGTGACAAAGTGATGCGAAGCGAGGGGTTACTGCTCCGTGAGTGAATATGCGATTCAAAAATGTATGTGCTTGAATTTTCAGGTTCAAATTTTAGCGGAGGCAAAAATATTAGGTAATTTTTTGCTATCTATCCAAGCCTTGATTGGTAGAAACCAGTGAGAGATAATAGGTATCTTGTGGAATTAGTCCGGTGTATGCAAAGTGGCCTAACGTCATAATTATTTTAAAAAAAAGGGTGTGCTTGAAACCTTGACTAGCGCGCAACTTGCTTAAACGAGAAGTAGATTCTTTGAATCTCAACTTTGAAAAGTAGGATTGATATCGGCATCATTTTTTATTTGAACTGAATTAGTTATTTAAATTGAAGTTTCATCGTTATAGCTCTAAACTCATATTTATGTGGTATTTTTTGATTTTTGTGAATTGTGTGCTTCATTTCAAAGAAGTTTTGCTCTCTAAATCAAACAATCTTGTAGGTCTTTTGCGCTTTTCACTTTAAAAAGCACGAGGAGTGAACATGAAAAGTCGAACCATTTCTTGGAGCTAAGGGTGTATAGACAGGTCTATTTTGAGGCTCCACGGGTGGGTAGATAGGATCTATTTTGTGACAGGCAATTTGGTCGATGTTTGGATTGTATGTAAGCTGGAACAAAACCAATTGTTGGTTTACTTCTTTTTTAACATTCATATTTTGGTCAACCCGTAACACGGGAGTTGAATTAAATAATAATGATGATGATTGTGAGCACAGATCTTGAGAACCACTTCTGGATGAACTTTAGGTTATAGTTTGTCTTTGTCCACTTCTGATTAAAAATTTATGGACCGTACTTGTGGATGAAAGCATTAGAGAGAATCTAAAAAGTAGAGATTGATACAAATATCTGAACTCTCAAATAAGCTAGGTTTTTGTGTTGTTGGAGATTTCCACCTTTGAGTTGTGCAGACTGGAGAAAGTGTAGTTTGGTTGATGATGAGCGTCTGATCCTACTGCAACGGACGCATAGGTGTTCAACAAATTTCACTATTATATATGTAGATGATACTCAAATTTCTCCCTTAATCTTATTTGGAAAAAAGGAGAATTTTTAGGTAAATAATTTTGTTTCGCCCACCTCGACTAGACTCTCTTGTCTTCCCCTCTATCCACACCAAGCTACTTGCTTGCCCATTCGTTCCCAATCCTTTTTTTTTTCTTCCCAAAATGCGTTGGACGTCTCGGCTAAGTCGCTGCCTCGCCTTGGCTACTCCAGTGCTCGTCTGTACGTAGTATAGAGCATTTTACTCTGCTGTTGAACAGCGGAAAGCATGGAGTAAAAACGAAGAATTTTTTTTTTTCCCCAAGAACAAAGGAACTTACAGACGGGGCATTTGTGGGAACTAGCCCGCAGGAGAGCTATTGAAAGGTGATAGAAACACTAGAAGTGCTGCCTCCCCTTGGCTGCTCTCTAGTACGTCCCCATTTGGCAGCATGTCATGTGGTCTGCCTGAAACGAGGATGAGGTTAGTTCTGTTGTTTCTTTCTGAATTTTCCTAAAGTATGGTTACGATTATTTTAGTGTAGTTCATTATTTGTGATTTTATATTACAATGGAATGTCTTATTTACTATATTAATGTATAATACGTTATGCTAATTAATTTAAACAAAATTTTGTGAACGTATGCGAAAGAAAGAAAATCCTAAATGAAAAACCATGAATAGCTTACCAGCAAGCTATCTTAATGTTGGAGATCTCGAGAAAAAAATCATAACGTAGTAGTCAGATCATAATAACACCATAAACTGTTGTTTATTTGTATGTTTATGCCTATCATTTGTGTCTTTTTATTCGGGTGTCTAAATCCGTTTGGACACCACTTAATTCTTTCGTTCTGAACTGGCTTAAAGAGAGGAAAGTATATGTCTCATCACTCATGTCACTACACATGCAACAATTTGGTATATTTTCTGACTTAGGCTGTTCTATTATGAATCCGGAACCAAAATAATGCATTTTTGGACTCAAGACACAAAAATATGTGGAAAAAAAAGGTTAGTGACCAAAATACATATAGCGCCATTTTAAAGGGAGCTATATTTGAATATGAAAAGACGGTCAGGTATAACGCCGTTTATTAAGGCGCTATAGTACCNTCCCGCAAAAAGTAAAGATTCTCGGTTCCACTTCCTAACTAAGGCGTTCTCTCGTTGTGGGTTGCCCGTTTCGGCTCCAAATCACCAAATCTTCAACTTTCCAAAAACCTTAAAATCGAGGTATTCCGACTTAGTTTTTGTTAAAACTTGTATAAAAATGCATATTAGTTGTTTTTAATGTGTTCTATGTTGTTTTGTGATTGTTTTGCGATTTAACTAATTTGTTATTTTTATCCGGACTATGATATTAGTGTGCTAAAAAAATTAGTAAAAATAGAGAAATTATTATTAGTTGTTAAAAAAAATATTAATTAGTTACTTTTTACTGTGGTATATGTATTTTCGTGAATGTTTTGTGATTAAATTTATTTATTGTTTTTATCCGGTTTAGATTATTTATTTACTTAAAGACCAGTAAAATAGATAAATTGTTACTTTAGTTCCCTCTAGTGGTATCTTGTGGCCTAATGTAGTGCTTGTATTTGTAATGTAGTGCCCTTTTAGCGTAGTAAAATGTAGTGCCTTTTAGCGTATCATCCTTGTAGTTATTGAAATTAATCATTTAAGTATCTATTATACCCAAAAATACGTCAAAATAACTGATAGTTCAAATACAAACTTTGCCCAATTCTAGTCAACAATCGTAAGAAAATAACATGAGAAAACAACAATATTTCCCGGATACCTTGGTGCTACTTGGCCTCAAATATCGAGCGCAGAACCCATATGTGAATATTTAATAATTAAATCTTGTATAATTATAAAAATTAATTATTTAATTTTATTATAGTCAAAAATAAGTGAGTCATAAATAAAAATATATAATAATAAAACTAACATATACAATATTAAACTAACATATAAATAATAAACTAACATTTAAAATAACAGACATATTGAGTGATAAATCGAAAAAAATTTCTCATCATGAAAACAAGAATTCAGGATATCTTGGTGCTACTGGGCCTCAAATATCGAGCCCAGAATCCATATGTGAATATTTAATAATTAAATCTTGTATAATTATGAAAATTAATTATTTAATTTTATCATAGTAAAAAATAAGTGAGTCATAAACAAAAATATATAATAATAAAACTAACATACAGTACAGCTTTTCCAGAAGATAGCATTTGCAGGCGAGCAGCTTTTTCAGGTCGACAAGACAACACACATAACGTAGTATTTAACCGCGCTATGCTTCGCGTGTTTAAGATTCTTTCGGGTACAATACAACTTTTCCAGAAGATAGCTTTTGCAGGCGAGCAGCTTTTTCAGGTCGACAAGACAACACACATAACGTATTATTTAACCTATGCTTCGCGTGTTAAAGATTCTTTCGGGTACAATACAAATTTTTCAGAAGATAGCTTTGGCAGGCGAGCAACTTATTCAGGTCGACAAGACAATTATTTTTTTTAAAAAAAGGGTTTATGTTAATTATTGTACTGAAGTATTAATGTTAAATATCAATAAGATTTAACAGCAATGGAAACATAATTTTATTTCATACATTTTGCAAGATAACCAAGTACATACACTTATTACAACCACATTACGGAAATAAAACACTACATGTATCCTTGATAGTTGGGCATATTAGATGAACTTTCACTAGGAGCTGGATTACCACCGCCACCCAAACCAGCTGAAGGACATTTATGATGGTTTGTCCTGTTTGCGAGCATATGCCACATTTGCACGCATAAACGATATTACCAACATCCATTTGGTTCCGTATACGCGTTCTTTTTTGCACTTGTCGCTGACGCAAAAATTCCTTGTTACACACCATTTTAAATGGTTCCGGCGGCCAATAATGCTCAGCACCCACTGGCTGCAACTGCCCACTATAGGTGTTTAAGTATGCAACAACACTATATTCTTTATCAACGTAGTTGATTGGCCCTAAACCTGTATGTTGAAAGCACTTGATGGCATGTGAGCACGACATGTGGTAGATAGACCATTTCCCACAAGAGCATAACCTTCTGGATTCATTTACGGTGTGTGTATTATTCCCCCAGTTGTGATGGATAGCGGTGCGAACTTCAAAAATATTTCGCTCGTTGCAATACTGCAAAAATAAATGCCAATGTGCTCGCTTCCTATATTTCTCAAATCTTTTCATTGGTATTGGCATAAATTCAACACCCATTTTCATCAATGACGATGCACTTATAGCCCTTTCAACAAACCTCTCCGCTATCAGCTTGAATGACATCTGCACCATGGCAGTGACAATCAATCCTCGTGCAGACTTCAATAACCCGTTGAAAGACTCTGACACATTTGTAGTCAGAATTCCCCATCTTCTGCCACCTTCCGCGTGCAAAGTCCACTTGTCAAGCTCATGTCGCATCAACCAACGATAGGCTCCCTCGTCTTCCTGCCTGATAGATTCCATGCGCCTCCTGAATTTACACTCTTGGTGATCTATTGCAGCCATCCACATTAAATCATGCAAATTCTTGTTGGGATATGCCTTCTGAAAATTCGCCTTCAGATGCCTCACATAGTAATGATGGTAGACATACGGTTCCTACCATGCACGCAAATTCTGTACAGAACTTAAAATACCACTATGCCGATCAGATATTAGACAAATACCTGAACGCTGTTTGATAAC